ATATGAAAATTTTTCTAGAATTCCAGTTTTTTTCTTTAAGATGTCCTCTGGTGCCAGATTTCCGATCTCGACCAGGAAGACAGAACACCCAGTTTGGCACGGAACACAATCAGCTTGGAACGGAACACTCCAAACCACAATGATGACCAACAAAACTCAAAATTGTTATCAAATTCTCTCCCCTAACACCAATTAACACTAATTAATCACTTATACAAGTTATTAATCAGCATCTACCTAGTCTTCGGTCTAAAATCTATCAAAACGACCAGTGACTGTTTAGGGATTATAATTACAGCGACCCTATTACCCACAGCGGCAAGAACGTCGGCAACAGTGCTGCCCGAAACGAATCCACAAGTGTCTTATAACCCCACTATATTTTTGAGAAAAATAAACATTTGAAAATGCGAAAAATAAAGGAAATAAGGGTGGAAAATCGATTTAGAGTGTGTTAAAGTGATTTGTGTTGTTGCAGAAATTTTAATAAAGGAAAATACTAGATTCGTAAGTGTTGACAATTGATATTTATTTGAGTAAACAAACCTTTTCACCGACATTTACTTAGGGCCTTTTACAAAACTTTCGAAAGATAAATAAAATGAATTCCTATCCTACCAGTAGGGCTTTATTATCCTAAAACAACCCTGTCATCTGAATTAGTGTATTAAGTATCAAGAACGGTAAGTAAGATTTACTGGTCAAAGACAATGTTTGGAGACTGAGCGAAGCGAAGTCTCCAATATTGTCTGAGACCAGTAAATCTTTACCGTTTGTGATGCTTATACTATTTTTTGTACGACTTGTGGAAGAGAAAGTATACTGCGTTTATAATAATGGTTATCTATACTTATTCGGATCATACCCTAAATATCAGTGAAAATTTTCAAGATTGCTTTGTTATAAAATTGCCATGGTTCATGGTTGTCATGTATGCGTTTATTTGTTCAAGTGTTTTTGACCAATTTTTTTTACAAACTGATACATTGTTATCAAAAGCGTCGTATTTCGCGTATATTTGTGAATTTTTGGCATAAAAAATCAACTAACCAACAACTAATGAGTGACGAGAGTGAAAATTCGGACCTAGAAGAAGCTTGGCGAATAGGATGCTCAGCTATAATACCAGAAAAATCGAAGGAACGATATGAAAATACGTATGGACTTTTCCGGAAGTGGTTTGAGGAGAAAAGTGGAAAAAATATCGATGAAAAAATCCTGATGGCCTATTTCGTACAAAGAAATCAACAGCTAAAAGCGCCGGGCAGTTTATGGGCTGAATACTCGATGTTGAAAGCCACAATTTTTCTACATCATTCCATTGATATTTCTAAGTTTTTGACGTTAATTACATTCTTAAAAAGGAAAAATGTTGGACACAAACCAAAAAAGGCTAGCGTTTTCACAAAGGAAGAAATGTCCAGATTTTTATTAGAGGCACCAGATGATATTTTTTTAATTCAAAAGGTAAATTGGCAATAATAATTTCCATTTTATGTATTAATATTTCATATTTTATTTTCAGGTAGGAATGATATTAGGTGTGTCAGGTGCCTGCAGGAGGGAGGAACTATATAATATAACTCTAAATGATATCGAGGATCGAGATTCCTTCATTATAGTGAAAATTCCCAACACCAAAACACACATTCAGCGGTCATTTACAATTACCAATGTGGAAAATGAAACCATTCATTATTTGGAGATTATTCGAAAATACATTAGGCTTAGACCAAGCGACGTAAAATCTGCACGAATGTTTTTAAATTTTCAGAAAGGAAAATGCACTAAGCAAGTGGTAGGGAAAGGCACAATTGGTAAATGGCCCATGATAATAGCAAAATATTTAAAATTAGGAAATCCAACCGATTATACTGGTCATTCATTCAGACGTACTTCAGCTACGCTTTTGGCCAATAAAGGGGTGGATATTTTAGGATTAAAAAGACATGGTGGCTGGAAATCTTCAGCCGTAGCTGAAAGCTACGTTGAGGACTCACTGCAAAACAAAATTGAGTTTGCAGGAAAAATTTTACATGGCAATACTGATTCTTCTTCAGCAAATTCCACGTCTGTATCATGTGCAACATTTTCAGTTAATGCGAACGATCCTGACAAAGCCACATTCCCTATTACTATTAAAAATTGTGATAACTGTACGTTTAATTTTAATGTTAATAAATAAAATATTTGTGTATTCTTTTTTTTGTATAGTTTTTCATTTTTATTTCTGGATGATCTAGGATAAATTTCCGAACATGACTAATATTACTTACCGTTCTAGAACGGTAAGTAATTCACTTACCGTTCTGTCAGCCTTGCCAACCAGTAAATACAACATACCGACGTCAAAACACTGTCGGTAAATAATCAAAATAGTCAAGTCGTACAAAAACAAATAATTCACTCATTATTACCTTGAAAAATATACCCTTGTTCAACAACTAGATATTGTTTCGAATCCAAACAAAAGGTAAAAATCTAGAAAAATTCAATGAGCAACCTATCAATCACTGAAAAACATTAATCCTCAGGTAAACAGCTTTATAAATACCCTCACAAATAACTGAATTAATTACTGAATTCATTCGAAATATTTAGTTATGTTAAAACAAAATTTTAACGTAACAACATTTTATAATAATGCCATTTTTAACAAAAATCATTGTGTATTAATTTTCAGAAAATCAAATCTAATACTATTGTTACCCACCGCAAGCTTATAAAATCAGCTGTTACTTCAACTAAAATTTGTGTAGAAAAGAAAAACATTAGGTATGGTATAACGTGTGTATATCGACCACCCTCAACTAACACTGAATTATTTGTGGAAGATCTAGAAACCTCTTTTAATGAATATCTTGACTGTCGTATTGATTTACTCATTGGTGACACAAACATAAATATATTAAATGATAATGAAAATGATACTAACTTGTTATATCTACTTTAAACGCCAATGGCTTCGAATCTGCCATCAACCCCAAATACTGTATCATGTCTGGATCACATATTCGTCAGGACTAAACTGAGAACAAGGAAACAACAACATGCAACTTTTATCCTGAACTCAGACCTGACTGATAGACTGATCACTTCCCAGTCATGATAATTTTTTTACAAGATCAACCAACAAACATAACAACTTATCATACACCTAAAACAATCATAAAGATCAACTACCAAACACTCAAAGATTTGATTAATGGACAGTCCTGGAATGATGTACTGGGCACTACTGATCCTGAAACAGCAGCAAATAATTTCTCAAATTTAGTAGCTAATATTTATAATCAGTGTAAAGAAAAGAAAATCATTATAATTGAAAATCGCAAAAAGATCAAACCATGGATTACAAATGGTTTAATTATATCCAAAAAACATCGCGATAGAATGAAAAAGAAACTCTTGAAAAATTATAGCTTGCAAAATGAAAAAAATTATAAAGACTACAGGGATAGCGTAAACAAATTGATAACTAAACGTAAATTTGACTATTATATGGATAAAATTTAAAATAACGAACATAATTTAAGAAAGATATATCAAACAATCTCAGAAGCGACAGATGGAAATAATAAAAAAGGAGATAACTACACCTTAATTAAAGATAATGGCAGAGATTTTCCTAACACCAAAGAAATGGCAAACTATTGTAATAAATATTTTGTCAAAATAGGTTCTTTGCCATCTATGTTCTAAAAACCTGTGTCCTGTGTGCGATCACGACAGACTGGAACAAATTAATTCTTTAAAAAACAATAGTGCACCAGGACCTGACGGAATTAATTCGAAACTAATAAAAATTTAATATGCATCTTTCCTAGAGCCTCTGAAACACATGTATAATATTGTTTTTAAATCAGGCATAGTGCCAACCTATTTCAAAACTTCTATTGTAAGTCCAATCTACAAGGCTGGAGATAAATCCCAAATGAATAACTACCGTCCCATCAGTGTTATAAACAATTTCTCAAAAATTTTCGAAAAATGGCTAAAGGATAGACTTTCTAGCTTCCTTACAGTTAATAATGTCTTATCAGTGAATCAATTTGGATTTCGTAATGGTTTAAGTACTACCGATGCTCTATGCGAACTTACAAAAACTTTGACTAATAACTTGAATCAGGGAAAGAAATGCATATTAGTGTTCTTGGATATGGCGAACGCCTTCGACACTGTGCCGCATGATGTCTGATAATTATGGAGTGCGCGGTACAGCGCTGAGGGTGTTCGACAGTTATCTAGCCAACCGGAAACAAGTTTTAAGAGTCTCGGGCGTGTGTAGTGATCAGCTGGTTGTAAGGATGGGAGTTCCACAGGGTTTTTAACATGATTCCACCTGATATAAGATCGACATTGAATATAAGGAAATATACCCAGACACACTCCATATGTTTCCAGAACATCAAGAAGTTTATCATGGGGTACCGTGTCGAACGCCTTCGCTAGATCCAGAAAAACAGCAATGCATGTGTCTCCCCAATCCAGGCTCTCGGTGATCTTACTAACCAACTCATACATTGCATCTGTTGTACTCGCCCCCTCCCTGAAACCAAACTGGTTTGAACTTAAAATGTTATTAGTCTCAAAAAAACTTATCAATCGCTTTGGATAACAATTGAGACTTTAAACCTACTGGGAACAATGCCCGTTTCAAAGATAGAATTTATGATATGTTTCAAAGGTTCAACCAAAAATTGATTTAAGATTCTCACAATCATTGAATTATTCTCTTCAATCCCGGAAGCACATTTGAATTGTTGTTATGATGAATTATTTCATTGTGAGTAACTGGTGTCAAATAGATGGAAGTTGCTGATTCAAAATCTGTTATGTATTACTCACTTGACTTATGTCCATCTACTTTATCTTTGACAAAAATACATACTCCGCCTCCTGTTTGGTTTGGACGATCGTTTCTAAAGATACTGTAACCATCTAGATTTATAATGCTGTCATCTATATCTAATCTCTCATTTAAACGAAATCATTTTCAGGCAACCTACACAACCGGCTTTTTAATCTACCATTTGGGCAAGTCACCCTCAATACAAATGTCACTATATGAAGAAGCTAAACGATTGCTACCAAACAAAGATAGTCCTGTAACTGAAGAAGTACTCAGTGAGGCCTTTTACTCCAAAGCAGTACTAAAGGAACTATTCAGATTGAGACCTATTTCTGTTGGGATCGGTAGAGTACTAAACGAAGACGCTGTGTTTTCCGATTATGAAGTACCCAAAGATGTTAGTAGAAATTCTCCATTTTGTGTTGTGTTTTATTAATTTGTAATATTTTTAGACAGTAGTCGTAAGCCAAAATCAAGTTTCCTGCAGGCTAGATAAGTATGTTCCTTGTCCAAATGAATTCAAACCGGAAAGATGGTTAAAAAGTCATCCGTTGTATCAGAAGAACCATCCGTACTTGTTACTGCCATTTGGACATGGGCCTAGGTCTTGTATTGCCAAACATTTGGCAGAGCAAAATATATTGGTGTTGCTATTAAAGGTAAAGATATCATGTATTTATGTTTTCAATATTTAAAATTTGCTGCTTATTATTATTAATTCAAATCAAAATTAATGGGAACATTCCACCACAGCAGCGAAACAATTGTTCAATCAGAATCAGCTAGAATACACAAGACTAGGACATGAGTAGAAATTTCACAGTTTTCCATATGAAACCACTTTTCTCTGATAGTCATGATTTTTCGGCTTACTATACATTCTCATTAGGTTCGTTATAATAATTTTTAATTTTTGGAAAAATTGCATGTTTACATTGTAGGAGAAGCCACATTCAACTGTCCTCCTAGCTATACAATATACTATTTTTTTTTTTCAAGAATATGTTCAGTAAATTAAATATTTTTTTTAATTTTTAGCTCATCCGGAATTATAAAATTGAATGGAATGGCCCTGTTCTTGATTCTAAGTCCCTCCTCATAAATATGCCGGATGGACCTATCCTGGCAACATTCCATGCTAGGTAACTATAGAAAAAAAAAGTGACAATTTTTCATTTTGAAAATCGAAAAATAGTTATTTTTATATTCAGTAACTTTAACTTTTAAACTTCTTTACAATTATTTCACTGTGCTATTGATATTGATGCATTTTTTAAATTTTGTGTTAGATCTTAGGTGCTTATAGTCCTCGGGCCCAGGCCTAAAGAAATTTGTGATTACCTCATCATTGTGACTTTGTCTATGTTTTCTTTATGTCCAATCGGACAACTACTCACATAAGAAAATTCTCAATATATGGGCGTTTTTTTTTTTGGGACCCTCTCAAACCTATTAACTTGATGTGAGGAAAATATTATCGACCTCAACATAGCCATTTCTTTCACTTGCAAGTTTCTTTTTTATCAGAAGAACGGGAAAAGTATTTGGATATTTAACTCGTCATACACCTCTAATATGGAAAAGTTATGACGTCATAAAATGTAAGTAGTCCCTCACAGGTGATTTTTTTTTAGAATGTTAAAAATAGTTAAAATGAAGTAGTAGGTAACCCGAGAAGTAACCTTTTTCGGGAAATTCAGAAAATTCGGTTGTAAGACGCCCTTTAGTAAAAAGTTTTCCGCAACCCGTATATTATTACCTCATGTCGGAAAAAAAGATTCAAGCGTGTAATGGGCCACTTTCACATTTTTCAAAAACATATTTAAAAATCGAATTTTTAAACTGGCGCGAAAACGCGAACTTGGTTTGTGACGTCACAAACAAGAAAATCAACAAAAATGCGAGGATACCAAATTTCTCATTAGTAAATCATTACACCTTTCACTAGCTAGAAACTATTTTCGTCCGAACAGATATAATCCTTATTAACTAATTTAAATTTCGCATTTCTACATGTGGCAACAAAAACGTCAAAATCGGCTTTAGCCAATCAGAGAGCGCTTTCAATCACGTGATTTTTCGTTTAAATTTTTAGTTTTTATTTATTAATTTATTTAATAATCCGACTAAAATCTTGCAAAATATTGTTCATTCTCGGTTGCATTGATGTATCTGCGTCAAAAAATATCATAATTTGCCATTTTCCTGACACGTGAAAGTGGCCCATTTCTATTATTTCCCGTTCACTGATGTAATATTCGGACAAAAAAATCTGCATTCTTTGGAACGCGTACAAAGGTACAGGGTGTTGCCCATATATTGACACCCCACATGCAGCATTTATCTTTACAGGTCAAAGAAAGATATAGGTGAATACCTCGGTGAATACTAAATTTGTTGAGTTTTGTCTAAATTTCCAGAATCCATTGTCAGAAAAAAAATTTAACATGGGAAATGTCTAATTATGCAAAAATTCGATTTTTGTTCATATAGATTGCCCTATACTAGCTATTTTCGGGTTCGAAAAAAGAACGGTTCGAGGGACGGTTCTAGAACGGTTCAAAACAATCGCACAATTCATCAATCAACAAAATGACAACGGCGAAGCTATCACAAATTTCAATAATAAACTGTGTGATTGTTTTGAACCATTCTAGAACCGTCCTTTTTTCGAACCCGAAAATAGCTATTACGTATTTGTTTTCACATTTTTGAAGAACACAATTTTGCGATTTCAATAATATATAATTTGTAATTTGTCTATGTTTGATTGATGGACAGGTGCTCAACAATTGCTAGGGATCAAAGTAATTTTGTATTTCAGTTTAACAGGAGAAAATCAAATCGGAAAAAATGTTGGTTGGCTTGGAAGGACAGAATTGGCATTTCTAAGCAAGCTTATTCCGCTTCTCAAGCTCCCCAAGGATGAAATTATCAAAACATATAATTTTGTTTGACAAACGCTTCACAGTAGTCATAAGAAGCAGAGAAGAATGGAAAGGAAACACCACCTCGATTCTCACAATCCACCAGAACGAAAGAAAATGCTATACTGATGAGTCAAGAACTGAACAAGGGAACAGAGCCGGAGTACTTGGGCCTGGAATCAAGTTCTCCTAAGTAATGGGAAGACACCCAGGCATATATCAGGCGAAAATAAACGCTTCAAGTAGATGTGCTGAGTTTAATCTTGACAGAAACTACAAAATGAGAGATTTTCACTCAGATTGTCATATTCTCAGACAGTCAAGCAGCCATTGAAGCGCTGAGCTCACCAATAATCAGCTTCAGAATGGTTTGGGAACGCCTGGACAAGTTAAACAACTGGGTAAAAAGAACAAACTATCCCTCCAGTGGATACCGGGAGTGAATCGCAGGTAATGAGAAGGCGGACCAATTGGCGAAATTGGGAGCACAAACTCCGCCTTTCTGTGGCATAGGGACGCACACGTATAAGAAAGCGTTCAGGAAGGAAGTGTGGAACAAATGGATCAGCCTCTGGGAACAGCCTTCAGGGTTAGGGCAAACGAAAAGCTTAGAACTTCACGGTATTGGCAAAATGGAATGGCCTGCATGATCACCAGATATGAGCTGCATATAACTTATAACATGTCTGGGCCGCAATTTCTAGGCAATTGAATACCTTAGAGGAGCCTGTGCAAACGCTGTACCAGTTAGAAGAAGCTGTCAGAAAAAATTGGACAAATTTATCACAAAATTATTTGAACCATCTGACCCAGAGTATACTTGATAGAATTAAGGATTCGTACTAGGGGCGGGCCGATGAGATATTAGATTTTTTTTTTGTAAATTAATGTGCCATAAAACTTACTTAATAGCACTTTTGGAATTCAACTGATCACACACATCAGAGAAGAGCGTTTTCACTTTTCAGCCAAACAAAAAGTACTCTAGATAACTTTGGACACTTGGCTATTGATTGCCATGAAAATAATTTCTCCATTTTCCACCCCTTTTCTGTAAAAAAAAATATTAAGGGCATTTTTCAAGTAGCCCCGCGAGTACTGTAACGCTAATTAATTGCAGCACTTGTGTGGTTACCCACTCTTAACGGTACTGTAGTGAGTGATACCGTACTAGTAGAATAAATAACTATTCCCGCATCAAATCAATTAGTTTAAAGAGGTCCCAAAAAAAACTGCCCCGGTACCAATTCTTATGTAAGGAGTTGTCCGACTGGACATAAAGAACACTTAGGCAAAGTCTCTCTGAGTTAATCCCAAATTTCTTAAATCCTGGTCTCGATACGCTATATAGGTGGATAAGTTTTAAATTTAGAATTAAGTTTTTAAAGTTCTACACACAAATTGTTTTTGCCACTTTATGTCTTGAATTATGTATTAAACATACCTTTATGTATGTATCATAACTATGTGATTTTTTGAAGAATTTACAGTTTATCAAGAAAAATCGAAATTATTAAACATGGTAGGTGTAGGTAGATATTCTAAAAGATGAACTTTTTTGTGTCAAGCTTTGCACTTTTTACCATTTCTATACAGATATTTTAAATTTTGATGTAAATGAATATAACTGAATCATGATATTGTTACTAACTATTATTTAAATGCAGTCAGGGTTGATGTGGTTGATGGTTGATGTTTATTATAAATATTGACTGGATAGTTCTGATTTTCAATTTATTAGACGCTTGTATGTACCTAAGTATATATTTTTCAATGTATGTTTTTTCTAATGTTATCCAAAGGTGCTCTATTAAACTATGGTTCAGTAAGATTGGCAATTTTTTATTTAATTTTTATTTGGAATAAGGTTACATTTTAAATCTGGCTCGTCCTCAGGTACGAGAATTCAGATACACAATGCAAATATCCCATTAATAATTTTATACTTACAGTGTCTGTAGGGAGGGGTGTCTTGTTGGACGTTTTGGAAAGCTATCTCAGAAACAACTCCCAGGTTGTTAAAATAGGGAATATAAAACCCACTGACAATAGAAAGAAATTGATTAGTGTATTGCAAGGTATTGTATTAAGTCCCATTATTATCATTTACTTCAACATTACACTATACAGGCCAAGTAGCAAATAATATTGGGTAAACACCGTTTTTTAGTTGGGCCAATATTTATACATTTTTGTTGCTAAATCAACATTGTACCAATATTGGTGCAACGTTGGTTTTAACTGTGTGGAAACAATATTTATGCACTTTAGGGATTAAAAGTACCCTTTTAATCCCCGTTTTCAGGGAGTGCGTCTTTTAATCCCCGGGATTAAATTTCACTTTATTTCCGGGGGATTGAATTTTTACTTTATTTCCCGAGGATTAAATGAAACAGGGATTACAAGTACCCTTTTATTCCCTGTTTTATTTAATTCCCGGGAAATAATGTAAAGTGCATAAAATAGTGTATATTCCTCAGGACTAAAGTGTTTTTTAATCCCTCGACAAATTATAGGGGCTCCCTTCCGTCGGGCTATAAACTTTTTGTCTCGGGATTAAAAATACCACTTAAATCCCTTAGGTGTATAATGTACTATTAAAAATAATTTTGTACATACCAATATTGGGCATTTTTTAGCGAGATCCCTGTAATAACCGTTTATAACCCGTGCAGTTATACACGGTTCCACTCCCACTTCAGAAATATATCCCTACCAGTGACAGATTTCTAGGATTAAACCGTTTCTTGCTAAAACGGAAGGGTTATCAAAATTTTACAGTAAAGTGGGGTTAGTTTATATTTTGTGGTAAACATAAAAGAAATGAACTGAATAATTAAATCCTTATTACTAGTTGATGATTGATTATATAATGTTTGAAAACACCCTGTATATTCTAATTCCTAAGTCTTATCGAGTCTAATATAGTGGTCCCTTGAAATGTATATTGCGAGAAAATCATGAGATGAGAGACAGCTAGAGAAGAGATTTAAATCCACTAAAGTCCACTAGGAGAAAAAAATAGCGCGAAATTTTTTTAGACTAGGTAGTGGAAAATCTACTAAATTTTTCCCACTCTTTTTTGAAATTTTTAGCACCTTTAGGCTGAGACTGGGACTCTGTAACGGATAGAGAACGTTATCCCTATCGCTACGGCACTTGCTGTCTTCTTCTCTCTTTCCGAATTCAATAGAGAGGGGACATCAATAGAGATAGAGAAAATATCTCTATTCGTTACAGAGTCCCAGCTCTCTGATATATTTTTCATTGTTTAATAATTCTAAAAAATATGGATACTCAACGCGATCTAAGTATCATCTTGTGTTGTGTTAGCTTCTTTTCCTTATTTCTTAGAATATGTTACAGCAGCATGTTTATAAAAGCATCTAGTCCAGTCATTAGAAAGATTCAGCTTGCAAAAGGTGGGTTAGTCTGGTAGTCGCGATTTTGACATATGTTGTTCAGATTGAAGCCCCTAACAAAAATTTGAGTTTTCGACCTTGGGCGGGGCCGGCTTCCTCCGCCATCTTCGATTTAGTGTGCACAAAACTGGATTTTCTAAAATAACTGCTGAACGGCCAAATTTAGAAAAAAAGCGTGAAAACAAAAAATTGAGAAAATTGAATTTTCTACAATTTTTATGAACAACTTTTGTTTATAGCTGTTACCTGTAATGAGCTAGAGCTACAGAAATTGAAATATACAGGGTGATTCAAAAGTGAGCGGCATCCTTTCGGGGGCGTATTCCTTGCATAAAAACAAGACAAAAAGTTCCTATTAACATGGGTTCGGAAATGCTTCCTAAGGGAGCTACGCCCCTTCGTATAGGACACCTGAAACACGTGTTTTTCTGTATACCTTTGAAACCCTTCACAAATGGATTTTGAAAATTGGTGTATTTTATAAACATTTGATGGCAATTAAGAAACTAAATTGAAAATTCAAAAATCTTAATCAGTGTCACATACTGGGGAGGGTCCCTATTTTTTTTTTACTCGTCAGGTTTTTGCGAAACATACCCAAATCAAAAAAATTTCAAAGTCAATTTTCTCGTAAACGGTACGCTGTATCGAATTGAACCAAGGGTACCTTTTCTGTGTAAAAAACTGTAAACTTTCGGAATTTTCAATCAGAATCACAAAAACCTGACGAGTAAAAAAATAGGGATGTTTTAACCCTCACGCTCCCCAGTATGTGACGCCACTGATTAAAATGTTTGAACTTTCAATTTAGTATCTTAATTGCCATCAAATGTTTATAAAATACACCAATTTCCAAAATCCATTTGTGAAGGGTTTCAAAGTTATAGAGAAAAATACGTCTTTCAGGTGTCCTATTCGAAGGAGCGTAACTCCCTTAGGAAGCATTTACGGACCCATGTTAATAGGAACTTTTTGTCTTATTTTTATGCAAGGAATACGCCCCCGAAAGGATGCCGCTTACTTTTGAATCACCCTGTATATATTTTTTTAATTATCATTTTTACTATATTTGTTCTGTTTTTTAGATAATTACGATGAAATTTAGGTACTTATTATATTTTATGTATGTATGGCGTATATAATACACAGGGTGTCCCACGGTGGATGGCGTATTAGACGTTTATGGAGAACTAAAAAGCGGATCATTTTGAAAATTTGGCAACCGGGATAAACGACCATAATCTACACTTTAAAAATATTTTTTGTTCATGCGGTGTTGCCGTTTCTACTCTAAACCAGTGGCAACATCGCTATTTTAAATGGAACACTCTGTTTGTGAGATTGCATATTTGGATTCTACATAAAATTCTGAGCAGATATCATGTAATACCCCCACCTAAGTTCAACTGTTTTGGAAATATTGACAGTTGAAAATTGACTTTTTGCAACTTTGACAGGCTGTAAAACCTGAGTGGTTAATTTTAGAGGAAAACCGATTTTACATTCCTGTCTTAGATTTTTACAAACTATCATTTGACACCAACTTTAAATTTAACCCATGAATAAAAATTCCAAATAAATTTAATCTCCGGTTAAATTCAAAGTTGGTGTCAAATGATAGTTTATGAAAATCTGAGATAGGAATGTGAAATTGGTTTTTCTCTAAAATTAACCGTTCAGGTTTTACAGCCTGTCAAAGTTGCAAAAAGTCAATTTTCAACTGTCAATATTTCCAACAGTTGAACTTAGGTGTAGGGTATATCACATGAGATTTGCTCAGAATTTTACGTAGAATTCAAATATGCAATCACATACATGCTCCATTTAAAATAGCGATTTTGCCACTGGTTTAGAGTAGAAGCGGGATCACCGCATAAACAAAAATATTTTTAAAGTGTAGATTATGGTCGTTTATCCCGGTTGCCAAATTTTCGAAATGATCCGCTTTTTAGTTTTCCATAAACGTCTAATACGCCATCCACCGTGGGACACCCTGTATGACTAATGGCCGTTTCCTTCCACCAACTATTTTAGGGGAGCCTTAATGATGAGTATTCCCTAAACTGACATTTTTCCATGTAAAAATGTCATTTTAGGGAATACTTATCGTTAAGGCTCCCCTATAAAATAGTTGTTGGAAATGGCCATAAATATATATGTATAATCAATTAGATAGTACTTTACTATACAGTGTGGTTATTTAAGTGTGCAATATATGGGATTTTTTTTAGTAATAGTAATAATCAAAATACAAATAAGGCCAAAAGTTGATACATGTCTAATAATCATATTAGGTGCACTTAGATTGGTTGCAAGTCAAACAGCATACAGGGTAGCTCAAAAAATATCAAAATTGTAGTAATATTTGCTTAAATAGAATAAAACTTTTGCACTTTAAGGAGAGTGTTTTTAATATGCATACTATCATTAATAATGTTGTAACTTGTTAAAAAAAAAATTGCGACATTTTAAAGTTGTGTTGAATATCATTGCAACAAACATAAATTTTGTGATTCCATAAAAAATTAAAAATCTAAGTTAATTTTACAAATATGCTTGAATTTGAACAAAGTTATGTAAAATTGATTTGGTCTTAATTAATTTTTTAAAGTATTAAGGGCGGAAATAAAAAATAAGAAAAATAAAGAAATTATAGATTTTTTTCGAAAAAAATTTAAAAAAATCTCAGGAGGCTATTTGGTATTTAGGAATAACTTTTAATTCCAAAAAACTTTTCTCCATAACATTTTGCTGAAATTTTTAAAATAAGGGTACTTTACAGTACAATTTTGATATTGTTTGAGCTACCCTGTTTGCTGTTTGACTTGCAACCATTCTAAGTGCACAGTGCACAAAGGGCCCCACAGACTGCGCTTTTGTTGGACGGTTTTGTTCGACGAGCAAATCTGGTCGAGCAAAAACGACGCAAAACCGAAGAGTGTGTGTGCGAAAAATTGTCATTTTTGCTGGCATACAAAACCGATGCAAATATCTGGCTTTACCTGATTTTGTCCGTCGGATATGTTCGATTTGTCAACAAATCTGAAGTGTGTGGGCTACGAATTTTAAAAACGACGGTTTTGTGTTTTGTGTGTTGCGTAGCTACAGAATGCTCACATTGCCTCAAAAACTAATCCGAGCCGCTTGATCAGGTGGCCTCGTCGAGTTTAGTCAGTCGCATGAATTATTTGTCTAGGAATTCTAGGAATAATAACCACAGGATTTTTTTTGTCGGGATCAAATTATAAAATGAAAAGTAATTTGACCTGACGATTGTAATAACTTATTATGAACTAACAAAAAAGAAATTATTTTGAAAGGACCGACATATTTTGCGCCAGTGCTACGGCCCCTTTGGGCGAGCCGCCAATAACTAAATCTATGCACACTACTATTACATTTTGGCTTATCCTCAAGGTATGTGTGTAACAAATTCCCCATCGCCAAATCACCAGTTGTGACGTAGGCAGCATGTTAATTCTCGCTGTATATATTCATATTTAAAAGTAGTAAAAGGTTGGGCACAAGATGGCGGCGTCTTCCATGTGAATATATAGGATTTTAAAAAACCATTGAAAAAGAACACGGCAATTGTCGCCACTGTGGTAATAGAGTCACTGTACTACCGGCGACTCTGGCGCGAGATCTGCCATTTTTTGATATCCTCTAATAACAAAAACTTGGATATCAAAAACAATAACCGTGTTTCCGTGTTATAGAATGATGACGTCATTTTATGACAGCAAAACACCTTCCCCTATTACCGTTTTCTCTCGGATCGGTTTATTCCCTGTAACCGCTTACGGAAACTTACGGGAGCTCGCTAAAAAATGCCTCAAGTATTTATAAGCAAAAGCCCGCGGAATCATAACCTGTAATGCAAACAATCATTGAAACAACCTACGTTAAGGCGAGAAATGACATGCTGTCTACGTCACAACTGGTGATTTAGCGTGGTGGGAGGCTTCAGATTTGTTCTACACACACAGGCCTTATGAGGACGGGCTATCCTGTAGTAGTAGTAGTGTGCATTATCCTTGGGCTTTATCCTCATTGGCCGAGTTCGTTTTTGTCAACTTTTTCGATTGCTCCAAAATTTTGACAGGCACGTGACTGGATAAGAAAGTGTCAATTTAAAAATCACGTGCCTGTCAAAATTTCGGAGCAAATCGACGAAAAAGATGATAAAAACGAACTCGGCCCTTTGTATTGTTGCCACTCGCCACTGTCTGTAAAGGTTTATTGAGTCACTGTAAAACTAATAAATCTGAACGCACAGAAAACACTTTTGAAGTTTGAATCAAAAAGGTGCTGCCATCTAGTAAATGATAGTTGTAAAATGTCAAGAGCGTTATTTTGCTTACTCCTTGTCGCCATTTCCTGACACCTGTGTGATTGCGGTTCCTGAAAATTTTCATGTAGTTTATTATAATTATTACTCAGTTAAAAATAATAGTGAATTATTATCTAGAAACGATGGAAAAGAGAGTTCGTCAATTACTGGACGATATCCAACACAAATTTTGTACTGAAGCAAAGGCCTTAGACTTGTGGAAAAAAATATATAATTCGGTAAGAAGTTTGCAAAATTATTTGTTAAATAATCTTCTTGGCCCCTGTTCGTGGTATAGATTTGGTAGATTCTAATTATAAAACGGAAAGTCAAACCAATATGAAGTTAGGAGTAGGAAATTAGCACTAACGGTTCATTTTCCGAAGCCCCCGACGCCCGACTCTTGAAAATCTGAATAGATTCATAATCCTATTTGCCAACAGATGATAATGGTTATTGTCGCTTTTGCCAGATTTTTTCGACGTTGGATCTAAAAATAATAGTTTTTTCCTATGAACCTGCAGGAAATGCGTTTTCATCTATGGTTTTCATGAACTGATTTAGCATGCGGAAAAGTGGTGGGTTCTTGCGGCGCGTCGTTCTATTGTGTACCTAAAGGCCGTTGCGTGCGGAAAAGTATAACTTTCCTCACTTGTTAGTAGTTAAATAACTATTTTCTACTAGCTAGCGTGCTTGAAACCCCACTTTTTTGAACGCATTTTAGGCCATGAAAGTAACACTAGTGCGAAAAGAAAGTACTTTTCCGTACTTTTCCGCACTAGGTAGTATCTTAAATTGGTAGGTATATGGGTACAAATGTTAGTGCAGAAAAGTACTTATTAAAACAATAAGTTACGAAATGAGCAGAGCGTCTTTTAGACGTCGAGTGTATATTATAAAAGTATTTTGACAGAGAACTAAAAGTTAACTTCATGAATTTCATAAAAATTCTAGAAGTTTATTAACTTCTAGTTTTCTGTCAAAATTGTTTTATAATAATCTGCATCAAATCAGCCCCCCCCCCCCCCTCCCCCATCACCAAATTCAATAACTTTTTTGGTAGAAATCAATAGACCTATCTATTTTACCAGACAAAGAGGTAATAATACGAAAACTTTATTAGATAGAAAAAGACGCAGAACGCTTATTGCGCAAGACGTGCCAAAACGTACCAGATTATGTTAGACTTACGTATAGCTGTATAGCAATCCGTTCTTATTATTTGCACGGGATAAAAAAGGAAGGAGGAAAACCGCGTGACATGCAACGTATTTGTCAATCAAAAACACAAACAATTGAAAATCGATCACTTGTCAAGCTACGTCAAGATGAATATCAAGCATAATTTTATCCTTGTCAGCCCACGGACAATGAACAAGGACAAGGAGATGCCCAGCGTGCAAAAGGATTACTTCACACCTGTACTAGTTAGCCAATAAAAATGCATTGCCTCGTGTTGCGCGCGCATACTGGTTAAAATAGATAGGTCTATTGTGCCGAATTGTGCTGTCAATATAAGGAATTGTGCTATTTTAGCAACTGAGTTATTTACAAAAAAAAGTAGGGGGGGGGGGGCTAACTTTGACGCTCAGCCCCTCCATTTTTTTGAATTTTTAATTTAAAAAAAAAGTGTTTTCCTCTCCAACATAGGTATTGTAAAAAAGCCACCTAAAATTAAAAATTAAACAGTATTAAAATATCACAAAAAATGAAAATGTTAAAATCTTACAAAATTGGCTTTATTCTCTTCCTCTCCCAACATCTCAAGATCTTGATGAACCCTTTCGTTCTGTTCAATTCTCTTGTATTATTTATCAAACCAAGAAAAAAGAAGCGTCGTCTGCGTCCTTCGTTCTAGCGTCCTGGCCGAGGTCCTGGCTTTTGGTAGCGTGGCATCAACAGGTCAACAGACAACAACAAATGGGTGATGCGTCTGCGCCGTTCTGAATTCCCAATCCCAAATAATGGTTTCGTCTTTGTCAGTCAAATATATTTTTGCATGACAGAGACAAAGACAGCATATTGCAAATAAAATCTATCTGCAAGCTTTATGCAACAATGAGAAAATTTATGTTTCCTATTCAAGTTTATTTTGAAATATTTAGGTAACGTTTTTTATTCTTGAAACTGTTAACGTACGAATGTAAAGGTGTCTGCAACATTACAGCGACAGTTTTAAGAAAAGTTGAGCTTATAATATTTATGCAACCATTTATTTTATTATATATTTTCAATGTTACAAGCGTAAATATTTCCGCAACATTAAAGCGATACAGTTGAGAAAAGTTACATTTCATAACATTGTTATAATATTTGCTTTACTTACATTTTACATTTACAAATGTAATACATTATTGTATCTATTGCAACATTTACTTGATAACTAAAACGAATGTTTCCCTATTGAAGTTGTATCAAATTTATATCCCTTTACATTGGATAAGTGATATTTTAGAAAGCTTAACGTCACATTACGTAATAAATTTTCTAAAGTAAGGTCGATACAATATTGTTGACAAATTTTGCAACATTACATGTTTAGTGGGTTGAGAATCGGAATTGTGCTGAATTGTGCTGCACTTATTTTCCCTTATATTTTATTCCATCACCCCGTTTTTTGTTTAAACAGTATGGCGGGGCTAACTTGACACTCAGCTTCCCCATTTTCTTCCATTTTGAATAAAAAAAGTGTTTTCCTTGAGAATCGGAATTGTACTGCACCAATTTTCCCTTATACTTTATTCCGAGCTTTATTCCATCACCCCATTTTTTATTTAAACATAATGGCGGGGCTAACTTGAGAGAAAATATGTGCAGCACGATTCCGGTTCTCATAAAAAAAACATTTTTCTGCAAACGTCAGAAAAACGTCACTTTGTTAACCCCTGTCAAGATGTCAGAAATTTAATTTCTATGCTGCTAGGCAAATTCAGCGGGTTAACACCTGTCGAGGTGGTAGAAATTTAATTTCTATGCTGCTTGGCAACCCCAGCGGCAGCAAAAGTACTTTTAGTGCCTCTAGAGCGGCAGTAGAAGTACTTTTAGTGCCGATCACACTTTTACTGCCGCTCAACCATTTACTTGCCCTCGAGCTTACCCCATTCGTTTGGAGAAAAAATAGCGTGTTGCATACGGAGTCCCATGGGAGAAAAAGTGATATTTTTGCTCCTGTCAACAGGTACAAAAAGTCTACTTTTTTTCCGCCACAGAAAAAAATAACTATTTTTTAAGGCACAATCTAAAAAAAAAAAGCGTGGCTGAGCGTCAAGGTAGCGGCTCTGTGAAGTAGGCAGGCACACTTGAAGCACAGATCCTTGAAGCACAAAAGTTAAATTCTACGTAATTGTTTAGCGCTTCGTTAGTGCTTCAATGTGCTTTCAATCTCCAAATTAGCCACCCTTAAATTTTCAGAGATATTTCGGTATTTGAAAATCGCCTGCTCACTTCACACCGTGCAAGAACAAGGAAAGCAGCAACGTTTAGTTAAGTACAGATAAATGGTTAGTGCTTTGTTAGTGCTTCATGATGCACCACCTCAGCTTTTAGCAACTCTTATGCTTCGAGAGATATTTCGACTTTTCGCATTCGTAGTGGGTGTAGCGGAGGATGTCAGGATACTGAAAAAAGGTTGCCATTTTGGGGATTGGAGCACATTGAAACACTAACGAAGCACTAACCATTTATTTGTAACTGAACTGAACGTTGGTGCTTTCCTTGTTCCTGCTGGGTGTGAAGTAAGCAGTCAATTTCTAAAATCCGAAATATATCTGAAAATTCAATTATTGCTAATATTTTTTCTGCGATCGCTCAGTAGGTAAAGGAAAAAAATGAGAAATGTTTTTGAAATAATAAGAAAAGGTATTTGGTATTTTCGTATATTATTGGTAAAATCGAGGGTAAAATGAATGTTTAATATTTAATTTTAATTATACCAGTGTTACCTACCAAAGATACTTCAAAAATGTATGTTGTGTTGTTCCTTGAAATCAGCAGTACGGGAATCACTTTTCCGGCCTAGCGTCAAGTTAGTTTTAAATAAAAAATGAGATGATGGAATGAAGTAGGAGGGAAAATATTATGTGCAGCACAATGCCTGTTCTCAAGAAAAACACTTTTTTTAAATTCAAAATTCCAAAAAAAAATGGGGGGCTGAGCGTCAAGTTAGCCCCCCTTTACTTTTTTTGTAAATACATAATTTAGTTAATGTTCGACTGGTATATTATTCGAGAAATAATTCCCTAGGGCGTTATGACTATTTTTTGCAGGTACTTGATTTGTTTTAGATTAATTTATTCAAAATTCATTCAAAATTTTCTCATATAAAAAATAATTAAGTCGGACATTAAACGTTGAAGGCATAGGTATACACATTGACCTCAAGCGTTAATATCCTTATAATCCCATTGATACCTTAATAACTATATCAGAATGGCACAATTCCTAATATTGAAAGCACAATTCAGCACAATTCTAGCAAAATTGATTTCTACCAAAAAAGTTATATAATTCGGTTATGGGAGGGCTAACCTGACGCAGTTTTTATAATACCCACTTTAAAAGACATTGTTTCGTAACCGCGTTGCATGCAAGATTTTTTCTACTAGCATTTCATAATAATAAAAATACAACGTATAATCATACAACACGCACTGAATTGAAAATTCTTTGAACACACAAATATACCAGGGAGGGGGTTAGTTTGGGTTGCATACCAGAGAGGGGGTAAGCAGGAATGGGTTTGATGGTATGGGTCTACAATGACACCTCAATTATTTAAACTTTTACTTTTTAATCTAGAGCGCCATGAATTAGTTTAAATGCTTAATTTTGCTCCAAGGAACCTGGGATAATTTGTTTTGATCTTATTTTATATTTTATATCCTCTACAGACTCATTATATCAATTTTTTCAAATGGAAAGGGTATGGCTCATTAGCATATTCCGAGAGAGCATGTTCTAACGAACAATTCAGTACCACACAATCGTTAGTTTATTCAAATATTGAACTAAAATTTTCCAAAAATATTTAGAATGCTAGGAAAATTCACCATTTGAGTGATGAACTAGCGATTATGTGGTACTGAATGGACCTTTCTCATTTTACCTGTGCTGCGCGCGCATCTTGTGGGTGACAGATAATTAAATCGTCAATTTACTGAACACGGTCTGACCCTGACGTATTTAAGCTAACCTCAATAATCAATCAGTATCAATCAATATTGCTGAAAATTATTACAAAAACTGTTTATGATACAATGGTTCAAATGAGTTGAATGAATTCTTGTCAGAATTAGGCGAAAAAGAAGTGAAACCTTTCTTTTCACAAGTTCCCAGGCAAGCAAATTGTAAAAAAAACAATAGTAACGTGCTCTCAACCCGAATGAAGACAATTTAGGTTGGGACAGAGATTTGAGGGTTCGTAAAATAACGATTTTTATATCAAATACAATAATAATTGTACAATTAAAGGTTTGCTGCAAACATTTTTGCTGCGGTGGGTTTTCTTTCTAATTAATGTTAATACGTATTCTGTCATATTTACGTTTAAAAATAAACAAAAACAAAAACATAACCGAAATTGCACAATTTGACAAGTGGAACCAATCAAAGTCATTCCACACAGATATCGCGCGTCATTATATGTGTCTTTTTCCTTATTGCAGAAATCCTAATAAACTATCCTTGTTGTTCATTGCATGAGAAAGGTCCATTGCTCGTTAGAAAACGCTCTTTTGGAATATTGCAATGAGCCACACCCTTTCCATTTTAAAAAAATGAAATAATTACAAAAATGCACTTCTACTATTTTTTATTGAGGCTGTAGAGGACATAAAATACAAAATAAGATCAAAACAAATTTTCCCAGGTTCCTTGGAGCAAAATTAAGTATTTTTCCTACAGCCGTGCGGAAAAATCGATTTTCCGCACTGATTTGCGTGCGGAAAATGAGTTTTCCCGCACGGTGCGGTAAAACTTTTTTTCTACGAGCGTGCGGAAAGTTTCACTTTTCCGCACTAGTGCGGAAAAGTGACAGATGTCAATTTTTAAATTATGAGCTGACACACTTACACAAATATCAGCATTGAGAATTATTGACACAATAACGTTATTTATTAAATTATTATGGTTTAAACTCAACTTTTCTTGTGAAATTACTATAGAATGGTTACTTTATGCTTAAAAATTTCGAAAATTTCATAGTAGATAGATCAAACGTACAAATTATTGTTAAAAGTTCTCGATTTTATAGTCTTCAGAATAAGGCACATTATTTCAGAATTATTTATTTTTTTTTATTAATAAATAAATGAGTTTTATTTGTAAAAGTACCTTATTTATATTAAGAAAAAATTACTCGATTTGTTTTTAATACCAGGTGTTGAAAAAATATTATCAAATATTGGTGTTAAAATTTACATTACGTAGGTACGTTCCTTCTAACTCGTAGAAAAAATAGTGCTCCTAACTCGTGCGGAAAGTCTCTTTTCCTCACTTGATTGCTTGCCGAACTCCGCTACGCGTCGTTCGGCAAACTGCAATCGCGTGCGGAAAAGTGGCACTTTCCGCACTTGTTAGGAAATATACTATTTTTTTGACATATCAGTGCGGAAAAAGTTTTTCCGCACGGCTGTCAGTGCGGAAAAATTTTTACCGCACTGATATGTCAAAAAAAAAAAGAAAAATTTTACATTTTTTCGCCTGTAGGAAAAATATTGTACCTAACACTTGCGGAAAAATTCCTTTTCCGCACTTGTTAGGTAAATAGCTATTAACGAATTCATGGCGCTCTAGATTAAAAAGTAAAAATTTATATAATTTGAAGATGAAATGTCAAAAAGTGACAAATGAGGTGTCATTGTACTCGTAATGTAGTTTTCTATTGAAATGAGGAAAAATATATCTGGCGTCTCATTTGAAATAAGAAAGTTCTAGTCACTTCCGGTGAAACCGGGAGTGATAATAAATAATTGAATACGTCAAATAATGCACATCCGGGTCATAAATAAACACACCAAATTTCATTTGTTTATTTGGAAAAATAAAAACGTTAAAGGGGTGAGCGGGTTTCGAAAAACACCCGATATACTATTATTTTAATTATTTTATTTTCAAATATATACAGTGAGCGCCATAAAGTTGGGTACATATGGGAAAATTCTTGAGTATTCCTTTTTTCAAAAAACTTTTTTTAGGGATCGTTTAGGCATATTCGATAACCAAAAAATCGACTATGATACATGTCATGCGATTATCGGTTAAGCGGGAATTTTGAAAAAAGTTGATATTGATGTCGAAAAACGGGTAAATTTGACAAGATATCAAAAAATTTCATAAGAAAAAGTTGTTCAGAATCCAAAAAGAACTCCATATGCCGATTTGAAGCAAATCAGAGAACAAAAATAAAACTACTTATTTTACCCATACCATTAAATGGAAAATCGAAAATATCAATTTTATTTCAAAAATAGCTTTATTCAACTAAACTACATAAGTTTGATATCAAACGAATCTATTGTTTTGCGAAATATACACTTGAAGGTCATAAATTAGAAAATACCGTCCGGTCGTGTCGCTATAACTGTACCCATGTCCCTTTTTGCAGATTTTCTGGTCATCAGAAAAATAACATGACATGTGTCATAATCGATTTTTTGGTTATCGATCATGCCCTAACAATCCACAAAAAAAGTTTTTTGAAAAAAGAAATAATTAAGAATTTTCCCATATGTACCCAACTTTATGGCGCACACTGTATGTGAGAATCACTTATTGAATAAAATAGTCTATAATTTAGATGATCTGGCGTAAACTTTCCAAGATGCTTCTTGAAAATGTCCAGTTTTCCATTTAAATTAGGAGTTATATTCAATCAAGTTATTTCTAATTCCCTCTGCGCATGTGTGGAGCACCATGCAGTAGCACGATTTCTTGGTTTTCAATCTCAAAACCAAAATTTCTGTTTTCAGTATTGTTTTCGATGTAGATTTCCCTGGTCTGTCACTGCAATTCGCTTATGGCAATTTTATTTTTCGTCGCCTGGTCATAGACTCTTAAATTGGCTCCTTGTGATGCACTTATCACTTTTTTCACAGTCTTAGAATTCAAAACAACAAACTCTACACTCAAGGACCTGGGACCTGCACTCAACAAATTATTTCAGACCTTAAAAAAATGACGATACAAGCGCACAGCGGTGTAGTCACGAATTAAAACAAAAAATGGAGGGAATGAATCCAGTGAATGTTCCATTTAAGAATTTCTATAAATCACTTTTCTATGAATCTGTCATTCATAATTATTATTGAAATTAACGCACAACGCTCGGATTTCCTTAAGTTGAAGTTGGTTCAACTTTTCCGTGTGTTACGGTAATTTTCCTAGTTTTTAAGTGGATGTAAACAACTACATATAAGTACATGATCCTCAAATTTTCTTTATTAATAATTTTCCGTACGTTAAGTTAAGGAAGTGGATGTAAATGACACTTTAATGACATTTCAAAAATTATGTATTAAATTAATTGGTTTTCTTTGTGGACCTGGGGGAGTCTTCAAGGGCTTTTTTGTTTTTCTGGATGTAGAGTAGATGCACGTTCTTTTACCAGAACGACTGCGTAATCCCATAATCGAAAGGACTTGTCAAAGTCTTGTGTTCACTTTTTGCACAGCCTTTTTGATCGGGATATGCTCTCGCTTTTGAAATGTCTGCCAGCTTCATGCAGACCCAGTCCTAGCAGAACGACTTCTGGGGCATATATAGGTAAATATCTCCCCTACCTACTACTTGCCACTATCTACAACATCTATATTGTCTCTGATAATGTACACCTGAAAAATATGATTGACTTTTCTAGCGAGTAAGCTGGACCATTTCTACCTATGTATCGTATTTTATGAAATTATAAAAGGTTTTTTTTTTTTTTTCTTTGGGATTATGGAGTTAAAGAAAAATTTTTAAGTCAATTCTGGATGGTTCAGCTGCATTTTCCCAACAAAATTTGATTAACATTAGGATACGTGATATCGATTTACCTACATAAAATAATCAAATTAACTACTGAAATAATATTAATTTTAGGCTAACTATGAAGAGTTCACAAAACTTTTCTGTCAAATTTTACAAGGAATAATCCAGGAAAATTATAATAACCCTTACGTCAAAACTATAATCGCTGCAATGGGTAAATTCGTGGCAGAAGTTTCCAGCAGGGAAACTAAAGGACTTGCATCTCCTGAAAACCTTTTGTTGAGAGATGTTATAAGCAATATTATTAGAGTAAGTATAGTTATAAATTAATCAATCTTTGAAAAATGTTTATACTATATTTTGTCTAGGATCACACTGAAGAAAATGAACATTTTAAATTTAATGTATGCAGTTTTTTATCGGTAACTTTACAAAATATGGACAAGAATGTTGAAGTTGATGAATCTGTGATCAGGATAGTACAAGATTCTCTGTTAGAGAAATTGGAGGTTAGTGCTTTGAGGTAAAACAGTTGGTAAGTAACTTTTTAAAATATATTATTTTGTAGGATCCGAAGCCTCTAATTAGGCAACAAGCGGTTTCGGCTCTTGCGAGTATCCAATGTCCTTTCAAACGTGACTGCCCTGTTGTTGGAAGCCTAATAACTTGCTTGATAAATCCACATCCTTCGGTTAGTATAAGAAAATTATAAATTGAGTATGGATTTGGATTTAATTTGTAATTATGTATTTCAATTTTTTTTTAGGTACGACGTGAAGTCGTTAAGAATATAGCTCTTACCGGAATCAGTTTCTCACATATTTACAAAAGAACTAGGGACACAGATGCGAGTGTCCGCAGAGCTGCTTTCAGCCGTATGGCGGATATTGGTAAAACCATTTAATTATTTTAAACTGAATTTTATCACGAGGATACGTCCTACGCTGCTAATAGTTCGAAAGCGTCCGCGATTTTTTTGAACAGGGACTTCTTAAATTAATCGACAAGTGTCAAAGCTTGCATGGATATTTTAAGATTTTCCGTGGTTGCCAAGCTCTGTTAACATCTCTCAGAACCATAAAAGTTTTATCATCCGGTCAAATTCTAAAAGGTTTAAATTTAAAATAGTATGAAAGGAATAAAATTAGGATTCTACTAGCTCACAGAAATTTTTCTTGAAAAACTGTTTCTTCACCTTTTTCAAAGTCAAAGGTCCTTTGACCCTTTTTTATTCACAATTTTTCCATCCCCTGATTTATAATAAACTTTTTTTTTTTCTCAGATCCTACTAGACATTTAAGAATAACTCAGAGACAATATATTTTGAAAAGTGGTATTCTGGAAACGAATCAGTGTACGAAGAAACTATTTTCAGAACTTCTATTAGCTAAATGGTTGACTGCGTATAATGGTAATTATATAGAGTTTTTGAAGGGCATTAAACTAGACGCTGATGAAAACGATATTCGAGATACTGAAAAACTTAGTGGTCAGATTATGGAATTTTTTTTGAAGTGAGTATTCATGATTCATCATAATAAATTTGGTTTGAAATTTTTCTCATTTAGGAGTCAACCTTTAAATAAAATAATAGAAATTCTTCCATTGGATGAGGACAAATTGATTCCTGAAAGTTCTTTGCAAACTGAAGTGGTTTTGTATTGGAATATTGTCCTCAAATATCTCCGACAATCTGAAGACTTGGAAGAATATATTGAACAACTTATTCCCGAACTAATAATTTTTTGTGGCTACATTCAGAGGTAAGAGAAAAAAATATGGTTCGTGGGTAATATCTTGCATATTCAATGAACACAACAAGAAAGTCACACTCCTGATACTTCATCTAAAGTTGTATCTATTTACATTACCCAGGCTGTTTTGCTTTAGGATATATCCTAAAGCAAGCGTATACGTAATGTGTTGTAATGATCCGGAAAAATAGTCCTGATATTAACAATGTCTTTATTGTAAAAATTAAATGTAATCAAATAATCAAAAACTGAATTTCCTGTATTTCAAATCAGTATCAATAAATTGACATGGAACCAAATTAACGTTGACCCCAAATACATTCGAAATTATATTATTTCGTCACCCAGCCTGTGTCATCATCAATAATTCCTAAAAATAATTAACAGCGAGGCCATAGTTATTTAATTGATGATTTATGGCATTCTTGAACCAAAATTTGTTGACCTTTATAAATCAGGATATTGCGACATGATTATTCGATTTTAAACAAATAAAAATGACAAAAAATTCAAATTTAGTATTTGTAATACCCATTTAGAATAACCCCATCCTTATTTATCAATCATGAATCAGATGAAACAAAAAATTACCAACAAAAACGAACGTCGATTGCTAACACGTCAATTTCATCTACAAATAGGAAATTCCTAACCTAATTTTATTTGTGTGTCAAGAAGCGACATACGTTTTGTCCCTAAAACGACAGGTACTTCTAAATAGGTATTAAAAACACTATACATGGCATCATTATTTTTTGATAATATCCAAGTCGGCCAATAGAATTGACTTATTGATAGTCTAACGACCGCCTATTGACGATTTTGGTGGATAATTAATATTACTTTGGGGGGGAATAAGGTTTTTTATGAATAAGTTAGAAATACCTATATTAATAAACAAACAATTATTTTGATTTTGCATAAGCAGTCAATAAAGGACTTAGGAATTTTTTAAAGAATTTATAGATATAGGTGAAGGGCAGTTTAATAGGAATGAATCGGAAGTGTTGAAATGTATAAACGTATAAGTTATTGAGAATAGTAGGAGTAGGGCGTTTTTCTTTTACGGATATTTTCCTGGTCCGTAATAATGATATTTGAACGGATGTGAAATAATTTGAATTGGTGTCAGGTGTGGGGTCTATTATTTGTACATTGAGAGCAACTGTGAGGTTATTTTAATTGTATTGTGAGAGCATCGGTAGGGTTAAAAATAATTTTTGAACTGAGAGAAACTGTAATTTTGTCATTTAAATTTGAGAACCACCAAGCGATGTTAGGGATGTCCAACCCTCCGAGCCCTGTACCACGATTCAACACCACCATGCCTAACCTTTTTATAGGATTAGATTCCATACCTACCTATGATGGAACTACCAGTGCTGAAGAATTTCTAAATGTTCTAGAAGAAACCAGTGTTTTAGCTGACTGGACAGACACGCAGAAAATTTCAGTAGCCCGATTGAAACTGAGATATCGAGCCAAGCAGTACATCGAAGCAGAGCCAACCCTAAAAACTACCACAAGCTGGGCTCTACTCAAGGACAGTTTGAAAACACAGTTTGGCAGGCATTATGTGAAAGGGACAACTATAAAGCATTTCATTGAATGCAAGCAACGAACAGGTGAAGCGTGTAGACAGTACCTTACTAGATTGAAGGTATTGGGGCACCGGACCGCTACATTCACCGGAAATCCAGTAACAGATAAATTGCTGGAAGAGAAATTGCTGGGAGACATTGCCACACAATTTACCCTAGGATTGTTAATGCCAATTAAACAACGTGTACTCTCAGGAAATCCAGCAACTTTGGATGAAGCATTAGAAATAGCTGAGAGGGAAGAATCAATCGAAAGTTTTCTGAAGCCACACAGTCGAGAATGCCGCGAAATTATGAATAAAAAGAAGACAGGAGGCCCAAGCCGTCAGAACCGTTGGAACCAAAAAACGCCGCAAGCTAGAAAAATGGTGTGCTACAATTGCAACCAGGAAGGTCACGTAAGACCAAATTGTCCGAAACTAAGGGACGTGAACAGACAAGGTAGCAGAGGTATGCTTGTTTGTTTCAGATGCAACAAAGAAGGGCATTTTGCTAAAAATTGCCGCACGGAAGTTAGCGCTTTTACCCAGCAATAGGGAAATAGGCAGAATTTAAACTCGAACGCAGCCCGCTATCAACCCCGAGACGTAGCTGCCAACGAGGCAAGTTGGGATTAAATGAAGAGAAATGGGTAGGAATATATACATGCTCCAAGGTGAGAACCCCAGAAAGTTCTAATGTAGTAAGGATTAGGGTTAATGATAAGTCGTACCTAGCCTTAATAGATTCTGGAGCTGTAGTATCCCTAGTTAAGCCCGAGATTGCCAAGGGGTTCAAGTAAGAAAAATGTGATGTAAATTTGGTGGATATACAGGACAATAAAATTCCTGTAAGAGGTATGGCAAATATACCTGTGATATTCGATGGAGACATCGTTGTGAGACACAATTTTATTGTGGTTAATACAGATTCGTTAAGGGCAGATTTACTATTGGGAATAGATTTTCTGCACCAATATGGTATTAAAGTAGATTGGCAGAACAAATGCATGTACGCTTTTGAGAAGCAAATCCAAATGTATGATGAAAATATTGATGCTGAGTATGCGATACAGAAAAAAGAAAAAGAGTTGAGGAACAAAGTTAGAAACTTGGAAAGGGAGCTAGACGAGCTGAAAACTTATGTGGAAAATTTGGAGAGAAATGGAAATAATGCCAAAATGGAAGATAATGTAGGAAAAGAAGACACGATGACATTTTCAAAGGGGAAGGATCCGACGTCACTGCACATGATGAAGGATCAGGTTCTAACAGCGATGTGCAGTCGCTGTGAAACTAAATCCAACTTACAGCTTGGAGCAACCCCGGAGAAAGTTATGACGTCATCAAGGAAACCGGCCGGTTCCAGAGAAATCCATAGAGCCATTCCACATCGACAGAATGAATTTATTAGATGTCCAGTGAAGGACGAGGAAGGTTTTCCATTAGAGAGAAATTCTAATGAAGGTCCAGTGAAGGACGAGATCTTGTTGTTTCCATTAGAGAAAAACTCTAATGAAGGTCCAGTGAGGGATGAGATTTTGTTGAATGAAGGTTTTCCGTCGTCTTTGGGAGAGAAGGTTATTATACCGCCGATGATTGATGAAGTGTGCCATGAGACCCTACGCGGAATTTCAAGGGCTAAGGCTCAATGAAGTTTTGACAGGCTGGCCAGTAGCACCAGTTTTGGAGAGGAAGAACAGTGAACTTCCAGGGAAATTCCAAAGGAATTTTGAGGGTCCATTAGAAAGGAATTCTAATGAAGGTCCAGTAAAGGACTTGAATTCAGAAACCAAGATGGTTTTCTGGTGACTCTGAGAGAGGAGGTGTTAATACCGCCAATGAGTCAAGTAGAGTGTCAAGCAACTCTATACGCAGAGCTTCAAGGGTTAAGGCTCAGCACATAGTTATCGAACAATGTGAGGAAGCTTTGTCAGGATTGCTAGTGGCACGTGTTTTGTGTGAAAAGGACAGTGTAGTCCCAGTGAGGTTATTGAATATAACTGAGAAAGAATTAACTCTAAGAAGTAGATCTGTAATCGCAAGAGCATACGAAGCGGAAATTGAGCAAGCCAAGAAGAAGGAAGAAACTCTGCAAATAAGGAGTATTGTCCAAAAGGGAGTCAAGGAAATTTTGGAGAAGTTAAATTTAGACAATCCCAAATCGAGTGATGAACAAAGACTTAAGCAGCTTGTTCTTGAGTTTATTGACGTGTTTAAAGCACCAGAAGACAAACTAAGTTGTACAACAGAGGTCGTACATAGAATTATTACGGAGGATGTGCAGCCAATCATACAAAGACCTTATAGAGTACCATATCATCGACAAGAGGTTATGAAGCAGGAAATCCAGAAATTACTTAATGACGGAGTAATCGTAGAAAGTGAGTCACCATGGAGTTTTCCTGCAATTCTTACAGAAAAGAAGACACACCCTGGAGAGGACATCCAGTATAGGCTTGTCATAGTTTATCGGGAATTAAATACCATAACAAAAACTGACTATTTCCCATTACCCAATATACAAGAGACCATCGAAAAATTAGCGGGATCTCACCTATTTTCTACCATGGATTTGGCATCTGGCTATTTTCAAGTGCCCATACAACCAGAGGACCAGGAGAAAACAGCATTTTCTACTCCTGATAACCATTACCAATTTTTGAGAATGGCAATGGGCAATGGGTTTGAAGAATGCACCGGCTACTTGGAGCCGTATGATGAATCACATCCTAGGAAAATTGACATACACCGAGTGTCTAGTATATCTAGGCGACATAATTGTATTTTCCAAAGACGTAGACTCAGTGGCGGATTTAGAGGGGTGGCGCGGGGGGCGCGCGCCCCCCCCTATTGAGCGACGCAACAACGAAATTTTTAACGAAAACACAAACATATTCATCAAGCATTATCCAACATGAAATTCCATATGGTTTTTGCTATTTTTCCAAATTTTTAATACTTTTAAATACGTTAGGCAGCAGCGAGCTGGGAGCGAATCGACTGCGGATGACGTAAATCCGCACCAACTTTGAATTTAATCTATAATTGAAAATTCCAATTAAATTTAATCTCCGATTAAATTAAATGTTGATGTCAAATGATAGTTTCTGAAAATCTAAGATAGGAATGTGAAATCGGTTTTCCTCTGAAATAAACCGTTCAGGTTTTACAGCCTGTCAAAGTTGCAAAAAGTCAATGTTCAACTGTCAATATTTCCAAAACAGTTGTACTTAGGTATAGGGTATATCACATGAAATCTGCTCAGAATTTGACGTAGAATCCAAATATGCAATCACATATAGGGTGTTTTATTTGAAAAAAAGAAAGTTGGTCTAGATAGCAAACAAACCAGAAGTGACACAGGCAATACGTTTAAGTAGAATTGTGGGAAATATTAGGGACATAAAGCTACTTGAAATAATTCATC